TCTTGTATTGATTTTTAATTTCATTCCTTAGTGATCATAAAAGATACTTTATATGATTTCAGTCTTTTAAAATTTATTGAGACTTGATTTGTGGCCTAAGATATGATTTATCCTTGAGAATTTTCCATGTACATTTGAGAAGAATGTATATTCTGTTGTTAGGTGGAGTGTTCTGTAAATATCTGTTAGGCCTAGTTGGTTTAAGTTTTGTCCAAGTTATCAGTTTTCTTGTTTATCTTCTGTCTGGTTTTATCCATTATTGAAAGTGGAGTGTTGAAGTCTCCAAGTATTACTGTAGAACTGTTAATTTTTACCTTCAATTCTGTCAGTTTTTGATTCATATTATTTTGGACCTCTGTTGTTAAATGCATATATATAATTGTTGTATCTTCTTGATGAATTGACCCTTTTATCATTCTATAATTTTTTTTGGTGAATTGTAACAATTTTTGTCTTAAAGTCCAGTTTGTCTGAGCTTAGGGTAGACACTCCAGCTCTCTTTTGGTTACTATTTGAGTAGAATATATTTTTTCATCCTTTTACTTTCGAACTGTATATGTCTTTGGATCTAAAGTGAGTCTCTCTTAGACAGTATATAATGGATCATGTTTTTCGTTCCATTCCTTTATTCTCTGTTTCTAAATTGGAGAGTTTAATCTTTTTATATTTGATGTAATTACTGATAAGGAAAGACTTCTACCATTTTGTTGTTTTCTGTCTTATATTTTTTGTTCATCAATTTCTCCATTGCTGTTCTTTGTGTTAGATATTGCTTAGTATACTATTTTGATTTCCTTCTTTTTTCTTCTATAAATAAATATATATAATTTGCTTACTTTCTTAGTATTTGCTCTGGGAGTTGTAACTAGCATAATTTATGGTGATCTAGTTTGAATTAATACTGTTCTGTTGATCTCAAACCTATTGATGGTAGTGTCCTAGGTCAAAAACACCTGCAGTGCTCTCCTAGGCACACATCATTCATAGCAAGCTCCCCAGACATTGCCCCCACTGAGGTCCCTGTTTATGGCCAGGCCAGCTCTTGTGGTTATTATTATGCTTGCAGGATGCATTTCAGCAAGAAACCATCAAGGAACTTTGAGGAACAAGATTTATTACTCACAGATCTTGAAGGGTATATGTACACCTGAGGGCCACACAGCCAGGTTTTGAGTAGAGAACGTGTGCAGAAATGGGGCTCTGCTTTATTTAGAGGTCAAGGGTGGGGTATCTAGGATTTTTTGGATTCACTCTTTATTGGCTAATTTAAAGCATAAGAGCCGGAATTAGGGCATGGAAAGGGAGAAATGGGATCACTCAAGTGGTCAGTTATCTAGGTTACCCAGGGCTTCCTGAGAGAGGGACCTTCTTGGGTGGTGGTGGCCAGTTCCTTATCTGGTTGTTTTTCTAGTAGCTATGTCATGCAACTGGCAATATGTTTATTCAAGATTGATATCTCTTGAAATGGATGTCTTGGCAATCAGGTTAATGTCACACACACTACAATAAAAAATGCTTAATGTCAGGCACTTAGACTACAAATACCAATTTTGTTTCAATGGTATATAAAATTAGAATTATTTTATGTAGTTGTCTTTTTAATCATGTAGGAAAAAGAGGAGTACAAGCCAAAAATACATTAATACTGAATTTTATATTTACCTACTTGAATACCTTCTTTTCCTGGTGTTCTTTATTTCTTCATATGGTTTCAAGCTATTGGCTAGTGCTCTTTCATTTAGCCAGAAAGACTCACTTTAGCATTTCTTATAAGCAGGTCCACCAGTGACGAGCTCCCTCAGTTTTTGTTTATCTGGAAATAGCTAAATTTCTTCTTCATCTTTGAAGGATAGTTTTGCCAGATAAAGAATTCTTGCTTGACAGTTTTCTTTCAGCACTTTATATACGTTATCCCATTGCTTTCTGGCCTACATGATTTCCGACGAGAAATCAGTTGTTAATCTTTTTGAGGATCCTTTGTACATGATGAGTTGCTTTTCTCTTGCTGCTTTCAGGGTTCTCTCTTTGTGTTCTGACAATTTGATTGTAATGTGTCTTGGTGTAGCTCTCTTTGAGTTAATCTTATTGGAGTTCATTGATCTTATGAATGTCTAGATTCATGTCTTTCATCAAATTTGCCAGGGATTAGCAATGTTGTGTTTAGACTGAAATTTCAGTCTTACCTTCCTTGGCCTGTGATTCCAGTGTTAGCTCAGTTTTCAAAGACTGCTATGCTGCTTTGGGTTTCTTCTGTACATGTGCAGCTTTGTGGTTAACTTAGGTTATTTGTCACTTCATAACACAGAATTAGGAGTCTTCTTTTCCAGATCTCTTCTCTAATCTTTTCTTTATTCTTTGACCTAGAGTCCTCTTTTCTCTAGAGGGAGTTTGTCTTGGTTATAGCCACCTGTGCTGCTGTAAGGTTTGCATAACTGAGGCTACTTTCATGATGAAATGGTGAGAAAAAGATAATGGGGTTTCCTTGCACACCTTCGCCCACAGAATCTCTTTTACTGGTTCTTCTGGCCAGAAAGATGGGTTTACCATCGGGGTTTTCAGTGCCTACACAGCTGCCACATTGCAGTGCTGTGACTGAGGCTGCATTTGGGACATGAGTAGTAGGGAGAAAAGAGAAAAGGGGAAGAAAATAAGATCTACAATGAGGACTCTTCTCACATTCTCTTTCTTGCAGAGGCCTGTTTTCCTGGTCCTCTGTCCAGAAAGATGGCTGTCTCTCTGTATTTTTGTTGGTTGTGTCTGCTGTGCATTTCTGCACAGGGGCCAGCCTCAGTTCCACACTGGGAGATAAAAGGAAAAAAAACTCTAGGAAAGTGATCCCTGTTATTGGTCATTCTTTAAGTTTTGACTCACCTCCCCAAGCCATCTGTTATTAACCTTTTAGAGTCCCTAGGTAATTGCTTTTAGTATGTTGTCCAGATGTTTTAGTTGTCATGAATGGGAGTGAGAGGCTGTAGTGGGCTTAACTCCATCTTTGCCCTTGATTCTTATGCATATTTTTTACTTCTCACTAGTTCCCTGGAGGAGGAATTACAGTTATGAAGGAAAGGCAGTTTACCCAAGCCACAAGATTTAAACATAGAGATTCTGGCTTAGCTGTCTACAACTTTTGACACAGAAATAAATTGTTTTAGGACATAGTTATGATAGGAATCATTTATATACTACTTACTCTGTTCCAGACACTGTTCCAAAAACTTTAGCTGTACTTGTTTAGTCCTCACAATAACTCTATCAAGTAAATACTATCTTATCCCCATTTTAAAGACAAGGAAAGTGAGGTACAGTGAGGTTAGATAATTTGCCCAATGTTACATAGATAATAAATGTAGAGCCATGATTCAAAACTAGGATAAGACAATTTAGTATTAGAGCACATGTTCTTGTTAAAATTTTCACTTAGTATTATGGCAATTTTCATATACAAACCAAAGTAGAAAATAGTATAAGGAACCCTCCATGCATCATTCAAACAGTTTCAGTAGTTTTCAATATTCTGCCTTTCTTGTTTCATCCATCTTTCCTCAACTTATTTTGTTTTTGATAAAGTATCTGAAAGCAAATTCTAGATATCGTATCATTTCAGCCATAAATGCTGAAGTATGTATCTCTAATGGGTAATAGCTTTTGAAAAATAGTATTACCACAGTATGAGTGTAAGGACAATATAATCACAACTTAAAAAGTGAAGGATAAGTTCCTTTAAATTATTTACTATTTACTTTGTGTTCATTTTCGTCTGATAGTCTCCAAAGTATCTTCTTATACCTGGTTCAATTCAGGATCTCAATATAGTCCACACATTGTATTTGTTAATATATCTCTTAATTCTTAAAAATCTCTTATTGGTCCTAACCCAGACCCTAATCATCTTTTTATGATTTTAACTTTTAAAAATAAGCTTTTCATTTTGGAATACTTTTAGAAAAGTTGCAAAAGATAGTACAGAGTTCCCGTATACTCCTCACCTGCTTTCAGTTTTTCCTAATTTGATTATCTTACATTACCATGGTGTATTTGCCAAAACTGTGAAATCAGCTTTGGTACAGTTTTTCTATTAATGTCCTTTTCCTAATTCAGGATTGCAGTAGTTGTCATTTCTTCTCTGGTCTGTGATAGTTTCTCAGCCTTTCCTTGTGACCTTGAATTTTTCTTTTTCTTTTGTGAGGAAGATTCACCCTGAGCTGACATCCATTGCCAATCCTCTTTTTTTGTTTGAGGAGGATTAGCCATAAGCTAACATCTGTGCCAGTCTTCCTTTACTTTGGATGTGGGATGCCTCCACAGTGTGGCTGATGAGTAGGGTAGGTCTGCGCTCGGGATCTGAACCTGTGAACGCCAGGCTGCTGAAGCAGAGCATGCAGACCTTTAGCTACTCAGCCACGGGGTCGGCCCCCAACCTTGAATTTTTTGATGGGTCCTGATCAGGTATTTTGTAGGATGTCCCACAGTTGGTATATATGATGTTTTTCTCAGGATTAGATTGGGGTTATGAATTTATGGGAAAAATGCCATAGAATTAAAATGTCCTTTTTATGATGTGTTTTTCTTTTTTAAAAAAATCATATAAAAAGTTTACCTGGTTCCAAAGTCAAAACTATAAACTAGGTACCTTCAGAGTGGTCTTTTATCCTTTTCCCTTTCCTACTCTTATCTCCCTTCCACTAAAGGTAAGCATTTTTTTAAAATTGGTTTTTGGCTCATCCTTCCAATCTTTTCTTTTTAATATTGTCATGCACACACACACACGTATCCCTCTCCATCCTGCCCCCTCCCTTCTTGCATAAAAGGTAACATTAGTCCGTGTTCTTAACTCCTGTACCGTACTTCCTTCTTTAGGCCAATCCCTAATAATGATTCTTCTAATAATGGCCACTTGGGTTTCTGTTTTAGAAAATTAATTTTTTTTAACTAATAAAAACCTTTTCTCATGCCTTTATAAGATTTAACCCATGTTATAATGGTTCCTTTTTTATTCTCAGATATTTTCCAATTTATCCCTGGATGAGCGTTGCCTTTCTGCATCATTGGTTTGCAAGTACTGGCGTGATCTTTGTTTAGATTTCCAGTTCTGGAAGCAGCTGGATCTTAGTAGTCGTCAGCAGGTATGGAATATAATTCTGAGAAACATTCAACTTGACTTACTCAAAAAATATCTTTATTTCTCTTCAGAAATCACTTGTTATAGTTTTTCAAGATAGTTCAAATGACTCTAATTTATAATTCTGTGCTTCAGTAATTATTTTTTTGAATTCAAGTTATAGCTAGGTTCTTATGGTGAGGAAGATATTTTTTAGTGTGGATTGGTAATTTTGGGTTGCTTCTTTTTTTTGAGGAAGATTACCCTTGAGCTAACATCTGCTGCCAATCCTCCTTTTTTGCTGAGAAAGACTAGCCGTAAGCTAACATTTGTGCCCATCTTCCTCTGCTTTATATGTGGGATGCCTGCCACAGCATGGCTTGACAAGTGGTGCCATATCCCCACTGGGATCCGAACTGACCAACCCTGGGCAGCCAAAGTGGAATGTGAGAACTTAACCACTGCCCCACCTGGCCGGCCCTGGGCTGCTTCTTAGTCCTCTTTGTCTTACCCTTTTTTATCATTACTTTTTAAAAAAGTTATTAGGGCCAGCCCAGTGGTGCAGCAGTTAAGTTTGCACCTTCTGCTTCAGTGGCCCAGGGTTCGCCAGTTTGGATCCTGGGTGTGGACATGGCACCGCTTGTCAAGCCATGCTGTGGCAGGCATCCCACATATAAAAAGTAGAGGAAGATGGGCACGTATGTTTAGCTCAGAGTCAGTCTTCCTCAGCGAAAAGAGGAGGATTGGCAGCAGATGTTAGCTCAGGGCTAATCTTCCTCAAAAAAATAAATTAATTAAAAAAGTAAAAAAGTTATTAAACTTTTCCTTTTTTGGAGGGGCCATATCATGAATATTAGTTTAATAGTAGAAAATAATGGCAAATGTTTATGTAGTACTGCCACTGTGCCATGTACTGTTCTACAGGCTTTATACATATTAATTCATATGATCCTCCCAACAACTTTGAATTGATACTATTATTGTTCCTATTAATATATTATTATCATTAAACTATTGGTAATAGTATTTTATACTATTATTTCAATGAAGAAATGGAAGCAAAATGGGCTAAGATAACATTTTTTGTTTTAATATTTCTTTTGATGAATTTTCTAATACTTCTCATTGCCCAGTTGTCCAATGTGTTCATATGGCGTCATAAATTGGGACAAAAGATAGAGTTAATAGTGCTTATTGCAAATAATTTGTTGGACTTGTTGGATTCTTCCTTTGAACTTGCTTGTCAGTTCTTGGCATTGGAAATATATAAAAATATCCAATAAGAAAAGGATTTTATTGGAGTACTAAACCTACTCTAAATCCTTCCATGATATTGTTATCATGGTGTGGTAATACATGTTTAACAAATGCCTTTCAATAACAAATGAACAAATAAAAAGCCCTGTTTTTTAATATTTGCCAGTTTCTGTGGTACAAACATTCCATGCATGGCTAATTTCAAGCTTCCAGTGTGATGTCACTGATTTGGAAAGAGGAACACACTATATGCTCTTATGAGTTGGTACAAGCCAACTCCAATACATCACTGGTAGTGTGTGTGTGTGTTTATGACACATACACTTTAAACAAAATAAGCCAGTTCCCGAGCGCTTGTCTATAAGTTTTCTTTTTGTTTTTCTACCTCATTGTTAAGAGGTTAAAACAATTACAAAATTAGTCATTTACCTGTCTGGGTTCATTAAATTTGTGTCCAGGGAGCATGGTGAGTATTTAGTTAATGGTGGCTGGTAGAGTGGAGAGAGCAATGTGAAGTAATCCATTGGCTCTTTACTTTGTTACTCTTGGATATCTGAGCTATTTGTTGCAAACTCAGAGTAAGAATAGCTTTTCCCCTCTGCTGGTAGTTAGGTCTAAAGATAAAAGGGAAAAAAGATGAAAGTAGAGGTATGTCAGAGTTTTAGCTTTGAAGGGAAGTGTCTACATTTATGCTGTTTCCAATAAGCATAAACAAAGATAATTTCAACCATGGCCCTTGCCCCAAGTGCCCCTCAATACTCCAGTTCTTTCCTTCTTCCATTCTAAATTTTATCATATGCATTTTATCTCACTATTATTTTTACTCAAAGGACTTGAATAATATTAACTCTGTTTTCTCTTTTTGGAAATATGGTGATTGAGCAGGGACTGTGTAGAGGTTGGCTTTATTATTATTATTATTTTAAAAATTCAGATGGCCATGTGAGTTTTTCACCTGATGAATTTTGAGGTTAGTAATATTTAGCTTTGAGTTTTCTGAGGATGTGGACATTTGTGTGTAATCTTTGGTATACTGATACAAAAACAATATCATATTTTCTAAGCTATGGATAAGTTATATGTGAGATAGTATTCTGATAGAATACTGTGAGTAGGTATCATCTAATAAGTGTAAAAACTCAGGATTCATACATTATGATGAGTGAGATACACTATTTGCTGGGTTAAACATAGAGAACAAACATTCAAAATCTCAATACAGTTTTGTTTGTGGGGAGTTTTTGTTGGGTTTGAAGGTTTAATTAAAGTAAGTTTTCCTAATAAGGATAGATTTTTAGGCTTTTAATGAAAGCTAACACATATATTCTTAGTGTTTTCTGCTATGACTTCTGACACCAAATGTGTGGTTTTTCCATTCTAACAACAAATTCTCCAACAACTTGGTGTCCAACAATTCAGTTCAATTCTGATACTAACTTCTGGAGTTAGCGCAGACCTAACAGGTTAAGGGCTCAGTCCCATAAGACTGTCTTCTCCACTTCATGTGCCAGTCCAAGTCCCAGGAGCCACCTGTCCTTCTGACCGAACAGCTATGAATTTGGAAGTTTCCTCAGCCCCCTCCTCAGTTTCCATAATTTGCTAGAATATCTTACAGAACTCAGGAAAATACTTAGGTTTACTGGTTTATTGTAAAGGATACAACTCAGGACCAGCCAAATGGAAAAGATGCGTAAGGGCAAGATATGGGAGGAGAAGGTGTGGAGCTTCCCTACTCTCTCCAGGCATGTCATCCTCCCAGCACTTTGGTGTTTTTACCAACCCGAGGCTCTTCAAATCCTGTTGTTCAAGAGTTTTTATAAGCCAATCTCCAGCTCCCCTCCCCTTTCAAGAAGTCAGGGGTGGAGCTGAAGGTTTGCACTCTCTATCACGTGGTATTTGGTGTTTCTGGTGACCAGCCCTCATCCTGAAGCTGTCTAAGGGCCCCAACTTAAGTCATTTCATTGGTATAAATGCAGATATAGTCAAAAGGGGCTTGTTATAAGTAACAAAAGACACTCCTATCACTTAGTAAATTCCAGGGCTTTTAGAACCTCTGTTCCAGGAAGTGGAAACAAAGACCAAGTGTATTTTTTATTATACCACAATTCTTGTTATACTTTAATATTAAGTAAAAAGGTTTTCTTTTGATTGTGGTTTTCATGCTATAATCTATTATATTACTTATTGGGGAAAATTTAATAGAAAAATAGAAAGTAAGTTTCTACTTTTAGCAAAAGGTTAAATTTATTATCTTTTTTTCCCCCTCTCAATAGGTCACTGATGAATTATTGGAAAAAATTGCATCAAGAAGTCAAAATATAATTGAAATCAACATTTCTGATTGTCGCAGTATGTCTGATACTGGCGTATGTGTTCTAGCATTTAAGTGTCCTGGACTTCTTAGGTATACAGCCTACAGGTGTAAACAACTTTCTGACACCTCTATTATTGCGGTCGCCTCTCACTGTCCTTTACTTCAGAAAGTTCATGTAGGCAACCAGGACAAACTTACTGATGAAGGACTCAAACAGGTAAATTTTTATAAAATAAAAATTATTTTACTCATATTAACTCAAAATGTTTTCTTGCAGCAACACTTTAAAAGATTATGTTAAAAATAATGCTCAGAGACTAAAATAAATCATCTTTTTTTATGTAGTCATGGATATTTATTTGGATTAGTGAACTAGCGTGCTGTGGTTATAATTGATAAATTAACTTTGTTGTGTTTTATAGTGAGTGCTTGAACTGCTGTGGTAAGCCGTTTTATTAATTTATTCTTTTGTTACTTAAATTTTGTACCAGATTTTGCTTTAGGTAGCAACAGTATGCAGTTTGGGTCAGCATGAGGTTTTAAAAATTAACTTTTAATTCCTATTTTATGTTGCTAGATGACATGCTTACATGCTTTAAAATATCTGTTTTAAGCCATAGATGGAAGTCCAAGTCAAAGAATATAAAATAAAGAAAAAGGTGACAGTTACCTGTATTTGGCACAATAATTAGATTAAAAATAGTATTGTTTATTTTCTGTTTGATGCACTTCCTTTGGTAATGGTGTTGAAAGTTTCTTGTCTCAGAGTGGATTATTCATTCAATGAATGTTGAATGGATTCCATGTGGCAGACCCTGAATTTATGAAAATTTTGAATGTTTAGTAATGCTCCCGCTATTGTACTAGGCACTTTTTGTATCTTTACATTTAACCCTTGAAATAACTTTGCGAAGTAGTTGATATTAAACTCATTTTGCAAAGGAAGAAATTAAGGCTTAGAGAGATTAATGAACTTGCCTAGTGTTTAGCAGATGGTGGAGCTGAAATTTGAAGCCTGAATTCTCCAAAGCTTCTACCATCTTCCCACTTTTCCACACCAACTTTACTCTTCTAGACCTCAAATAAAGGAGCCTGCTGCATGAAGGCAGAGGCCATCCACATTTGCCACTCTTCCCACAGTGCCCTCAGCAAACAGTCGTTGAAAGAAAGAATTAATAATTCCATTCAAGAAATTTGTCAGGATTAACACTTCCCTGAAAAAGCAGTGTGTCAGTAAAGTCCTAGATTTAAATCTGGTCTGAGATGAAGTCAGAAATAAAATGAAGATCCCTAATTTAAACAGTACATATGAATGAACTAAAAGCTCAATATTAGATGAAATTTGGAAAGGCTCTATCGATACTAAAGAGTACTGGATGTGTCAATCCAATTTATATTTTAAGAATGCTACAATTTATTAAGGGAGCCTATTTTGTCTGCAAAGGCAAATTGTGCAGTGTCTATCTTGTTTTAATATGTGTACCGATCCATTTCTGCTATGTATAGGATTATGCACTAGCAAAGCATTTTATGAAGTTCTTAACTCTATTGAAACAAATTAATCTTTAATGGGGAAATTATACACCTTATGGCTATGGCATGATGTTTTTGTGATAGAAATTTCCCAGCAAATTATACTTTACAATGAAATATTTTTATTTTTTAATTATTTTGGTGAGGAAGATTGGCCCTGAGCCAACATCTGTTGTCAGTCTTCCTCTTTTTGCTTGAGAAAGATTGGTCCTGAGCTAACATCCTTGCCAGTCTTCCTTTATTTTGTATGTGGGATACTGCCACAGAGTGGCTTGATGGGCAGTGTGTAGGTCTGCACCCAAGGTCCAAACCTGCAGACCCTGGGCCACCGAAGCAGAGTGCGTGAACTTAACCACTATGCCACTGGGCTGGCCCCCATGAGGAAATATTTTTAAAGGTCTATGTATTTATTAAGAAATGGATTAAATCTGTTACATATTTAAATCTGATATAACGCATAAAGTTACTGGTTAAGCAGACTGTTAAGGGTGTCCCCTGTAAGAATACGATCATAGTTATGGTTGAAATAGAAGGAAACGAGAGAGTTCTTTAAGGAACAAGACTTAATATCTCAGTAAAGTATTGTGAATTTATCTAATACTTACAACTTTGTAGTCTTCCCTAGAATGTGAAGTATTTTGGAAACTATTAATTTATGATATATGTTGCTTCGGATTTTCATGATTTCTGAATTATGAATTAGTTATAGATGAGTTAGTAATCTGATAGAAATAGTGAAACAATGTAAATCTTTCTCATCCTTAAGTAATTTTCTTAAGTATTTACATTACATTAAGTAATTGCATAGGAACCTCATTGCAGTGTAGAGAGTAATGCTTTCCTGTGCTTAAGGCTGTTCTTTAGCGGGGTGTGTCCTATTTTAGCCTCTTTCTTCTGATAGAATAGTGTTGTGGTATAGTAGAAAGAGAATGACCTTCATTTGTACATAAAATAGAAATAAAAATAGAAATAAAAGTTTTATGAAGCAATACATAGCCTTATTGATATTTTCTTTTCTATACTATTATGTTAAATAAATGTTGGGCTTTACCCTCTAAGTAAATTAATTTCATGACCCAGTGATGCTTGATGAAGTCTGCTGTGGAGTATATTGGTTTTAGTGAACTAACAACTTAAAAATTTATAGTAAAGTTTCACAAGGTCTAGGATGGAACTTTTCAAAATTGAATAATTTTCCTGGGGTTATTTTTTCTTTTTTACTCACAAACATAGCAATTGTGATTGAATTGTTGATTCTACAGATAAAGTTTCAGGGTTTTTGGTTTTTTCCCCCTCTTCTATTAGTAAAAACTGACAAATATTTTAGAATGGTATACGTTTATTTTAACTATTTCATTCTACTTAACAATGTTTGTCAAATTTAGGGTGAAACACCTAAAGGTCAGGCTGTTTTGGCTGAACCCTGTGTTCTTTGTGAAATGCCACCTTGAAATCTTGATATTTTTATTTCCATAAAAATAGCTCCAAATAATTTTACCAGTGGAACATATTTCTATTATATACATCTCATAAAACTATAGTCATGTATTTAGGGGGGAAAAAAGAACTATTTAATTAAAAGTGGTAGGCTGTTTCAGTTTTTCTGAGATTTTTCTCCCATCTAGCACTTGCCAGCAAACAAGAGATGGCAGTAGCTAAAGGATTCAATGAAATCTAAGAAATTGTATCCATTAAGTTAAGAAATTGTATCCATTAAGTTAATATTTCATGTGACTTCCAATTCATGAATCTCTGCAGAAATTTCTGGAAATCGTCACTATATATCCTCAGATTAAATGGTACAATAATAATGTGTTGCATTAGTAAATTTCAGTCTTTCTATGTAATGAGCTTTTAGGTCTTTAAACATTTTTATAGTGACATTAGCAAAATGGCAGAGTAGGCAGCTCAAAACCTGGTTCCTCCACAGAAACATCAAAAAACAAGAAGTAGCTGTTAGAACCAACTTTTCCATAACTCTGGAAAATATTCAGTACTTTACAGCAACCCACTGAATGATGAACCGAGAAAAAGGCGATTAAATAAATGATAGGAAAGCTTTGTGGCATTTTTACTTGTGGGTGCCCCACACCCTCCCCAGCTTGGCAACAGTCTTAAACGCAGCAGCCTGTGTTCCCACTGTGGGACCCAGGTCCCTGGTTCTAGAGGGAGCAGAGCATACTTTATTCACAAATTATTGTGTTTGTCTATTCTAACCTTCCTGGGAGCTTCTTGAAGGACTGATGCAAGGCACTCCATCTTTTTCACCTAATTCAGAACTCATTCAGGGTGGAAAAGCAATGGGCATTGCTTGAAAACATTGTAAGGCAAATGAAAAACCCTACAGATATGTGGGGCAAAAGATGATGGCTGAATCATGCAGTAGACCACCTAAGGCCTGAGAGGAATGGCCAGGGAGAGGATTCCTTTGAGAAATTAGAGCAATCAGAAGCGCCAATATATATGGGGAAATTTAGAAAGCCATGTGCCTGCTCAGGGCAAGACACTTGCTCAGGAACGTCTTGAGAAGACCTTAAACTTTCATCACTGGCTGCTGTCTAGGCCTAGTGCAGGACGTGAAGGCTAAGGCAGAGTTGTAAATGGCATGGCTAAGTGTTGAAGGAGTACCCCAGCACAGAACCAGTCTGCAAAGACTAGGAGAAGTGTTTTTGTTTTATATTGTTTCATTTTAAAGTTCTTGCATTCAAGGAAATATCTGTCAAAACACTGGCTGAACACAAGCTAAACCTTTAGTACTTAAAGAAAGCAAACCCTGGGGAAGGGAGAGAATCTGATTTCCCAAGTTATGACATTGTAACACTATAATATTTGAATGTCCAATTTTCAACAACAACAAAAATCACAAGGCATGTAAAGAAACTTTGGACTTAGTTGGCAAAGATTTTAAATCTGTTATCTTAAGTATGCTGAAGGAGCTAATGAAAAGCATGGGCAAAGAATAAAGGGAGTTCAGGAGAATGATGTATGAACAAAATAAGAATATCAATAAAGAGAAATTATGAAAAGGAACTAAATAGGAATTCTGGAGCTTAAAAATCTAATAACTGAGGGACTGGCCCCGTGGCTGAGTGGTTAAGTTTGTGCACTCCACTGCAGGCGGCCCAGTGTTTCGTCAGTTCAAATCCTGGGTGCGGACATGGCACTGCTCATCAAACCATGCTGAGGCAGCGTCCCACATGCCACAACTAGAAGGACCCACAACTAAAAATATACAACTATGTACCAGGGGGCTTTGGGGAGAAAAAGGCAAAAAATAAAATCTTTAAAAAAAAAAATCTAATAACTGATATAAAAATTTACTAGAGGGATTCAGTGAACCTGGAGATGGGACAAATGAAAGTATCCTTTCTGAGGAACAGAAAGAAAAAAGAGTGAAGAAAAGTAAATAGAGCCTAAGGGACCTGTGAGATCCTGTCAAGCAGAACAACATTTTCATTGTGGGAGTCTCAAAAGGAGAAGGATGAGTGAAAGAGACAGAAAGAATATTTGAAGAGTTAATGGCCAAAGCTTCCCAAATTTGATGAAAGACATGAATCAATACATCCAAGAAACTCAATGACCTCCTAGTAAGACAATTTCAAAGAGACCTACGTCAAGACACATAATAGTCTAATTATCAAAAGCCAAAGACAAAATCTTGAAAGCAGCAACAGAGAAGTGACT